CAGCTCCCCGGGCGCCGCGGCGGCCGCTGGGCAACTCGCAACCTGGCTAATTTCCTGCGTCCTCTGGCACCAGGAGGGAGGACAATCCGTCTCCCCGGCAGCCCAAGCGACAGCTGTCAGAGGGGCAGGAGCTTCTGGGAGCCGCCATCTGAAGGTGAGACATGTGGGGAGACAGGAGCAAAGGTGGTGAGAGGGGAGCCAACGCTGGCGGCCGCGGGGGAGGCCGCGCGGGGCGGCTTTGAAGAGGGGCACACCCCGCGTCACCCACACTCGCCCGTTCACATTCGTCCCCTCGCACGCGACAGGACAGCCGCCCCCCACCACACACACGCACACACACACACACACGCACACACACGCGCACACACGCGCGCGCGCTCCCTTCTCCGCGCCCTGGCTCGCGGGGGCAGAGAACGCCCGCCGTCCTCCGGGTGGCACGGCGCCCTGGCATGCGCGCGCGAGCACCGAGGCCTCGCTCCCTTCCCCAGCGACCTGGCCTCGCCCCAGAGGAACTGGCCCTGCACCCTGCGTTCCCCGCCAGCCTCTCGGGTTTGGAATTTTTTTTTCTTTCCTTTTTGCATTCCTGACCCAATTGGTTCGATTGAATTCCCCAGCGACTGGGGACAGTTCCCGACCTGGGAAGGTGGGGAAGAGGCCAGGGCCAAGAGAATTTATCGACACGCGTTTGGTGTTCACACGGCAGGCTCCCTTCCCTGGGAAGTGGTTTGGGGAGAGAAAGGTGGGATGGCGGGCGTGGGGGGTAAACAAACGTGAACTTACTAATTCAGCGGAGTCCTCTGCGGATCGCCTGCTTCCCTCCACGCGGTTTTCCGATGGGAGGCGTCAGGAGCGCGGGCAGAGGGGAGCGGCGCGCGGGTGGGATTCTGTGCTGGAGGAGAGGACTGGTTAATTGGCTGGGTGTTGCTTGGCGGGAAGTTTCGGTGCAGAGGATGGAGTGGTGTCATTGCGAGGGGCAGGGGCCCGCTGCTAAGGTTGCAAGGAGGTTGCAAACCGAGTCTGGGCGATAGGGGGACCCCCACCCAC